GGCAGGTATTAAAATTTTGAGCACAGAATTTCACTTAGGGAATTATGCCACTACTAACAGGTCGCAGGAGTGGTTGTATGCGTGTCAAGCACATAACCAATGCCTCTATGAGTATGATGTCATTGAATGACTCCAACGCTTTTACTAGTATGCGCAACAATTGTTTCACTTCCTGATCGGTAACACTCTTGCTAATGCAACCATAAACTATGAGCGCACGCGGTTGAAGCGCTGGATTGTAGCAGAATGCGAAACAACGCGCTAACGACGTCCACGTCTGCAGCCACTGGCAATCGGGCACGTCGCGCATGCAAGCCTCCATTATTTCGAGCAATGCATCGGCAATTACTTCCAGTGAGGGTAAAGAGAGACGTTCGCGATCAGCTGGCAATGGTTGCGAAACACGCTCATTGCCCAACCACTTGTCGGATGGATGGCGGCAACTGGAACGGAAGGCGGTCACAGCAGCCGACTTTACCTTGCTTATGCCGAAGAGTAAATAGAATTTTGATAGAGAGAATTCATCAAGCGATAGACGCAGTACACGTTGGGCCTCCTCGGAGAAAGTCGGTTTAGTGCAGGTACATAGCGAGTGAATGATGTTGATGACCAGTCCGTGTGTGGAAGCACGCATAGACACTGAGCCGGAACAGACCTAAGTAGCGGTGGGTGAAAGTTGAAATGTGCTTAAACAATTCGCAATTATAACCCTAGTGTATGCTCACCAAAAACGTGATAATATGAAAAAGATAGGGCAAATGCGTGGCCACATCGAGACAATTGTTGAACGACAACATGAGCAGGTAACGCGCCAGTATGGCAATGTCATCCCACATCATATGTTGCTCCAGGAACTGTGTTGGATTTGTACAGGTCTTGTCCATGACGCGACACATGCGCGTTATAATTTTCTTCGAAACGAGTAACACATTGGCAGAAGCTAGCGCCACTGCTGTGTCAGCCATAATCTCCACATGTGGCGAACCCAAGCCATATGTAATGGATTTGTGTAGGAAATTATCGAGCACCATATCGATTAGCTCGGGTATTTGGCCAATCGAACCCCAAATCTTCGCTTGCACTGATGGATACATTTCCTTCTGCTCAATGGTGACCAATATCAGCTTATCTAGAATTTGTGACACCTTCAATTTTTTGGCATCATCGTTGGATTTACAGAATTTCACTAAATTCTTCAACCACGGCGTCATATATTCCAAACACAAATGCTTCAACTCAATTGTGCTGCGCTGGAAACCTTGTATGCACTCCTCCAGAAACTCCAGCGTCAAATGTGGCTCATTAGTGGCCAGTTTCTCACTGACAGATTTAATGAAAATAGTGTTGTTCGATGGTATGCATAGGCCAGATGTCTCCAGCAGCTGCCCCTCGATTTTCAGATCAAAGGAAGCGGTGAGCGCACAAAGCAAATTGTAGGCGGCAGTGCGCAGATTCGGATCAGAAGAGCCAAGATTAAGTAATGCCATATTGAGCAGCGTGCCCGGCACATCTTTGGGACGTATTTTCTGATGCACCGTCACCGAGTCAGGTTGACTCAACTCCCATCGATTGCGTATATGTATAATGGCTTGTACAATGTTGTCACAATCGTTGTGTATGAAACTTAGCTGCCCGCTTTCATTGGTAATTGAAAGCGTAAATTGGTTATCATCCACGAGACAAACTTCTTCAATTTCCGAGGCATAATAAACATCGTTGAGCAGCACTGAGTGTGCCAATACTTTGGTTTTCTCAGCTGATGTGATTTGTAATGCAGTGGGACCAACTTTTATGGCCACTTTGGTATCTTTGTGACTCAGTTTGAGTGCATTGCTGAAGACCTTCAGATCTTCATCCAGTGATAGTGTGGCACCTGGCAGTTTTTGTTGTTCGGTGTCGATGAATTCATTCAGTTTATTCGGTGTATCTAGGAACACTAGTTTACGGTTGCCCTGTGTCGGGGGAAAGAGTTAACTAGAAACTTTTTCGAAGCAAAAAAAAAAACGTTTTTTACCTTTAACGGCGCTAGTATGCGATCATGAAATTTGGTATATTCGCGCACCCACGAATTGCAGTTGTAAATGTAAACAGCGTACACATTTTCGTAAGCAACGGTTGGCAGCACATAAAACCATTTCTGTAGAAACTCTGTGCGGAAGCGATTATCCGAGCAGGTGTGCGTGAAATCGATGATTACTTCGAAGGGCGAGTGACAGAAAGGTTTGAGCGTGAGTATAACGTGATAGATGAGGAGATCGCCATTCGTTTCGCCAATTCTATAAGTGAAGGGGAGATGATAATGCAAAAATTATTTAAATTGGTTTGTTAAAAATCCCCTGGGGCAATTTCACTCTGCTACTACTAACTTGTAACGCCTTGCGATGTAGTAAAATACTGGGAAACCAGACTTGCTTGTGCCCGCTTGATAGAAAATATTCATTGTTTTCAAAGTTTTAAACTCCTCCTTTTCGTGCATTTGATGTTTAACCATAATTTCTTCGAAATTCGTTGATGACATATCGATGGAACTCCAGCGTGCATACGATGAGAACATCATGCTGCAATGTACAGAGTTTTTAATGGAATGAATTAACTTCCTGAAGCCATATATTTGTTTTATTTACTGCGAGTCCACGGGCTTATGCTCCGGCGGTCCCAGGTAAGCCAACAGTGTAGCCATCTTATCGAATGGCCGTCTCCCAACCGCCTTATGGTCACGACTGCTGGATAAATAGTCGCCAATGCGTTCCTGATGGGTCCAGAGCAGGCGATGCAGCGCCAGTACATTGGCATCCGAGATGAAGCTCATGCTGTGCGAAGTCTGATCAACAGTCTCGCAATCCGAAGCAATTTGTACGAAGAAGTGACGACCCTGTTCAAAGCGCGTACGTAGAAAATCATTGAAAGAAACCATATGCTGCTCTTTGGAGAATTCAACATGATTGGCAATATTTTGCAAAATTTTCGACATCAACATAAGACCGCGCTTGACCGAAGCGGGCACTTGGCGGCCAACAATGCCGAGCTCTTGTGGTGAGACTATAGTGAAATAATCAATTTTAATTTTTCAATATTTAAAGTGGGAGGAGAACACTGACCAATTGCCGGATTGATGAAGCGCAGAAAAATTACAGTGCCAACGGCGCCGATATTGGTTTGCAGCACAGTGGGAAAGCGTTTGCTCAGCACCTGATAGAGGCAGTGGCACATAGAGCGCAATTGTGAGGGAAAACGATCCACTGAGTTCAGTATCGCATCAAAAAATCGTTTGGTAAGCGCCATCAGATTTTCCTTGTTTCGCTCCAAGTCTTCACCCGGCTCAAGCCTGCAAAAAAAAATAAAGGTAATTTTTTAAAGTATTTATTGTTTTAGATTACAAAATAATCATTCACAACTCACCGCGCCGGATCCACCTCATAGCTGGTGTTCGGATCATCGAGTAGCGGCCGTATAAGCGGCTCCAACAAATTCTGCAAGTAACTGGCGCCATAAATTTTAAAACAGAATGCCATTATTTTACTGCCCAGCGAATTGCCACGAAACAGTGTCGACATACACTCGGATATTTCCACTTCACGATAGAACATATTCCACAATAGTGGCGACAACAAATGCTTGGCATCGAACAGTGTGACCAGCACACGCGCCAACTCATCCATTTGTGAAGTGGTCACCACATTTGCTAGCGCCATAGCAATCGGCAGCTCACCCTTATCCGATATCATTGTAACCAACTGCACTAGCTGCTCAAAGCGATCGGCTAACACCGTCTCGGCAAGCGTATCAAACTCAGTGCCTTGTTGCAAGATTTGTGTGAGCACCTCCATGAATGCGGCGCGCGTTTGCAAGTCAGGATTATAGCCCAGATCGATAGAATGCATGAGGCCTGAGTCTATGTTGGCGCCCAATAGGTTGGACATAGCTTGTATAGTAGAATTACGTAGTGCGGTAAGTTTGTTGCCTTGTACAGGTGGGCGAGGTGGAAGTAGTGGTGGATTATTAAGCTCCTTCTCAGCCTCAGAGCTGTCAATGCAGTCATTCAATAGGTTCATGAAGAGTGTAAAATACCTAAGAAATGGGGAAATTAGGAAAAACTTGAAAGACGTGTAAAGCGCTCAGTGACATACTTGAGAAATAGCGCGCTCTTGGCATCCATTAAGTCGCCGCGATCTGACTCCTCTGGCTGGAGGGGTAGGCCGCGTAGCAATGCGGCTACAGCTTCCATGCAGGCTTGATCGAGGTCGCGGAATATTGTGGAGGGACTAAAATGGGCATTCAAAGAAGGAAAGAGTTATAAAAATGTTTACAAGAAATTACAGCAAGTATTTTAGCTTTTAAGGGAACATTTCACGAAATATTGAAGCATTTGATTACTCCATTAGTGCTTTAGAACTTAGTTGATTTAACATTCAAAGCAGCGTTTGCTCTACTCACTTGGAAGGCGTTGGTTCATTTGAATTCGATGGCGCTATCTGGTGCGTGGTGCCCATCACCCAATCGGTCAGGTACTCTACTAATTTGTTGCGGAATTTCATTTCTTGACGGAATGCCAAATCATCACGTCGCTTCATCATCACCTCTACCAATGTGCAGAGTCTTGTCTTCGTACGTATTGCAAATACAGTCATATCCAGATGACGCACATATCGCACAATGCCCAGCATCATGCCCTCAATGCTCGTCACACTCAGGTACTCTGAAGAGGCCGCTTGTTCGTTGTTTGGGTCTTTGGTGGATTTAGGATCCAATATGGATTTCATAATGTAAATAACATGTTCGATGAATAGTGTATTGATTTCGGTAACGTTCAC